GTAACAATATATATAAAAAGAAACACTGTCATTCACTGTAAAAATAAGCAATAAGTACAGCTTTTTTATTATAAATACATATAGCCGATTTTTTATTTAATGTGAGGTATTTACTGTTCAATTGCTTCAATTCTGCAAGTAAAGCTACTCCTCCTCCCTGAAAAAAAAGAAAAATTTAGAGAGACCAAAGAGATATAAAAACTACAGTGAAAGTCGAAGTCTAAAACACATATTTATTTCAAAGAAAATGTCTACACAATCCCAAAGGTATATGTATAAAAGTTACAAATATTTGCAAAGGTATATTTATTCGAGTGTCTTCAGCTCACCAACAAAGGCCATTCAAAACAAACTTAAAAATAAAACGTATGACTTAAAGTCATACTGGTATCAGTCTCTTACAGCTTGTCAGTTTAATTTTAATTATTAGTTAAAATTATAATTTTTCTAACTGAAGCTACGTGAAACTGACCGAGAATCGATACTGGTTTTTAATTATGAAGTTAGGCTTAACGAGTATCATACCTTTCGATGAAACAAAGACAATATTTATTTAAAAATGATATAAAATGCTATAATTAGAGCTTCTACAATTCTAGGAGTCCTGGAAGGTTACTCTATAACACTAAACCTACATTTAGAAATATTCTTATCACAAGAAAAGTAGAACGTCATGGAATGATCTATGCTGTTACTACGAGGCCTCTGGTTAAAATAATAATTTAGAAATTTGATTTGAAAGACGTAAAGTTTATCGATACGCAGTCCAGTAGGTAACTACTGATAATCACTACTTTCTATATGCTTGGGGTGACACCTGGCGAGCTTTATAGCCAGATTCAATAAGAGTGGGAGTTGATTAAGAGAACCTAAGCGAATTCTAAACTCAACATTAAAACGTATAGTAAAATTAAGACATAATAATCAATATTAAATACACGCCATGGTAACGATATACAGGATATCGAATAAGTCTTTTCCTTTTATATGTTTTAATTTAGTATATCACTTCTTAGAATTATGAAAAACGTTTTAAGTTTGAAAGAGTGCGATCATCCTGTGATCTGGACGAGCTGAGAGAGTATAGTGCGTTCTGACAATTAGTCAAAAATCATTCCTCCTGCCACCACAGTTTTAAGTAAAACTGAGGCTGTACAGTAGGACGGACCCCTTTATAGTGTGTGTGTGTGTGTTTTATATAATATGTACAAGTTTTAATCTTATTTCTTAAACGTGCATTGGAGCATATACCACCACTGTTATGTTAGGTTTCGTGTCAAGCCAGAATGCCGACATTACGGTTACTTGAAAGTCTTGTGCTTGAAAGAGTTTAATATTTATAGGGTTGATTGATCATGGTGACTTTGATACAGACGGTACTTCCACTAAGGTGAAGTTTTCAATAAACTAACTCAACTGAGTATCCATTAAATCTATTACGACAAGTAATGCTGGAGCCATGGAATGATTTTAGATATGGCGTCCGAAACAACCGCATTACATAACAGAAAAACAAACAACACAGATAACATAATAGAAAAACAAACAACATGGATAACATAATAAAAACGAACAACACAAATAACATAACAGAAAAAACAAACAACACAGATAGCATGACATAAAAACAAACAACACAGATAGCATGACATAAAAACAAACAACACAGATAGCATGACATAAAAACAAACAACACAGATAGCATGACATAAACAAACAACACAAATAACATAACAGAAAAACAAACAACACAGATAGCATGACATAAAAACAAACAACACAGTTAACATAACAGAAAACAAACAACACAGATAGCATGACATAAAAACAAGCAACACAGATAGCATGACATAAAAACAAACAACACAGATAACACAACAGAAAAACAAACAACACAGATAACACAACAGAAAAACAAATAACACAGATAGCATGACAGAAACTCAACAACACAAATAACATTGTTGTTTGTTTATGTCATGCTATCTGTGTTGTTTGTTTTTATGTCATGCTATCTGTGTTGTTTGTTTTTTCTGTTCAGATAGCATGACATAAAAACAAACAACACAGATAACATAACAGAAAAACAAACAACACAGATAGCATGACATAAAAACAAACAACACAGATAACACAACAGAAAAACAAACAACAGATAACAACAGAAAAACAAACAACACAGATAACACAACAGAAAAACAAATAACACAGATAGCATGACAGAAACTCAACCAACACAGATAACACAACAGAAAAACAAACAACACAGATAGCATGACATAAAAACGAACAACATGGATAAGATAACAGAAAAACAAACACTGCAACTAGTTAGTTTAATTGTTGTTCAACACGAAGCTACAAAATGGACTATCTGTGTATACATCTAACATGACAAAAAACATAAAACATGGCATGACATAAGAAGAATCAACACAGATAGCATGTTAAAGAATTAAAACTTGTGATAAATTTCAATTACTTTTGATGAAGAAGTAAACATCTCTCAACAAAAATAACACATTAATTCTCAGCAGTCTAAGGTATATCACCCATGTTAGGAACAAATAAAATATTTGAATAAATGTACTATTTAAGAAATATAAGACTAAAACTTCTTCCATTACTAACTTATATAATAAATGTTGTTCATCAGCATTTTACAATACATTATGCTTATACTAATAGCTACTGTTGACAAAAGCTAAGACAGTATTCGTTTTCTCTGCACTCACGAGAGTATATTCTCAGGATGTGTTGGAAGGCGGTTGAAAAAAATTGTGTTTAGTTGCGTAATCACGCTACTTTAACTGACTGGACGAATAAATCAGTGAATCACGTGACTGGCTTATATTAATAAGATCTTAAAAAGTTTGTCACGTGACTGGACTATATGAATAAGAACTTAATGAAACTGACACATGGCTCGTGGATAAGAGCAATTACTTAATCAGTTTGTCACGTGAGTGGTTTATAGGAATAACAGCCTACTATGTTTGTAATATGACAAGATTATTCGAATAATAACTTAATAAGTTTATCACGGGACTGGCTTATAATCGATGAAGTGTCATCTCTCCATACATTAGATACACTGAGAAATACTTAGTGAAATTTATGTTTAGAACGATACTCTTATCATTTTGTATTAGGAGGGGAGGATTACTTTGAGAGAAGAAGGCACATCGTAAGTCACTTATGCGCCATTTTATTGCTGACAAAGATATGTAAAACATCATAAGTTTGTACTTTTTAAACTTTCTTTATCAGACTTAGGGTAGTTTCTTTGAGCACTGACATCACATTCACAATTAGAAGTTTTAATATTTCCATTTGGAACCCCAAGAAAGCCTCCTACAAGAAATGGATTATGGTATTCTGAGAATCGTCCATGTTTGGCTAGATGACCATTTACGTACGATGAAGAATGAAAACCAAGCTGACTTCTATTTATGACAGTCGGACTTTTTGTCTCATCTTGGATATGGATTGAAGAGAGAGCTACTGGCAGACTGTGCCGACGTGACGACATAAGGTCTGAAGATGATGCCAAATCCAATGCTTCTAGACGATCTAAGCACTTGCTGTGTCGCTGAGTGCTAGTCTCGTGTCTTAGTGCTTCCACGAGCTGTATTAACCGCTGAAGGTGTAATTCCGTCTTCTTGTCCCGAGGACTGTCCGTGCCATCACTACCTGTCGGACTGTCAAGATGATCTGGCTTTCCAAAGGACAGCGAGCCAGTCCTAGAGGGCCTTTTCCTACGAGCCTTTTGCTGTATTCAAATATTATGGAATATTAAATACGGAAGTGAGAAGAGCAAAATTCTTTAATTTAAGCATATTTCAGAAATAACAAATTTATCAAGTTACAAAGCGTACTGGATTACATTAACTTTATTAGTTTTTAAAATTCAAAGAATTGGAATAAACGCCACTTTTAAGGGCTTAATCTTCACGTAAGGTTATATTTTGTGGGATGTGCTTTTCTGAACTGAAGAAAAGAAAACGTTTGAATATATATGGGAAAATGTTCTCGGAGAATACCACAAATTATAAATGTTTAATGAGTAATTCTAAACCACTTTGTGAAATATGATAGAGAAAAAGAAACAAACACACACACACACACACAAATACCCAAGTAAACTTCTCCATACAGCAGTATGAAAGCAAGCAAGCTTATATTTACTTTAAGTTTTGTTTTTATAATAAAATCGAGAGTATGGCAGGTCCTAATGGTTAACTTCCTGGGCTGAGGTTTCAAATGTCTAAGGTTCAAGCCGTAACATACGGACGAACACATTCCACACTTTCATCTGTGGGGGACATTATAACTCTGACAGCAATCCTACTATTCGGATAAGCGTAACCGCATTATAGGCAGATGCTGCTAGCTGATTACCCCTCCCCCCTCTCGTTAGTAACCTAAAAACAAAAATAATAGCCTGGTCTAAACCTGAATGGCCTTTAACTTGGCCACTTAGCTCACGTGTCGCATAAGGTGCTGGTCATGTTGTAAATACCAAGTAAAATTCCTGTGCGCTATATTCAATATCGTACAGTACAATCAAACTCAAAATAACAGAAACAAAAAGAACTATAAAGTATGTTAAAATAAATACCAGAAATTAATTAAAGTTATATAAGTTACAGATTGGTAATAATTGAGCGGAAACCCAAAATACAAATGTGACCTTTAACCCTTTTGTCTAGTTATTACTATTTATTCAACTTACGCATGATTTTTGTCATGAACTAAGGCCCCCCAGTTATACGACTTAGATTTAATTAAAGTTGCTTTTGCCAGCAGTCGTTATAAACACGATTACGTTTCAAACCCTTCAAACGTGATCTCAGCCATCCCGATCTGTTTCGAAATAGCCCATGAACCAGATGGCATGCGAGGCCTGTTTTTGGAATTGATTGCAACCTCACCTCCAAAACTTATTTATTTTCTATCTAAAATGAGACTCCCGCATAATTCCACTTTCCATTATGGGAAAGTGTCTGTTTAGTATGGAAATATCGTGCTTTAAAACCAGTGTCATGCCCAATGTTCTTTGAACAGGATTGAGGAGGAGGAGGGGTCGTTGTTTCAATTTAATATACAATGTAGTAAAAAATAATTAATTACTGCACCAGGATAACAACGAAGGACTGGCTTTTGTTCTAAATAACTAATTAGAATAAATTTTGGAATAGGTTTTAAATACACACACATATATATACATACATATATATATTCTTGTTGTGATCGACAGATTAATATTATGTGACAAAATATTCATGTACAGTGAAACTATTTTGATGACGAACGACTGGAGTATTTAATGGAAAAGTATGGGTGGTATTATTCTCCCATTTTAAGTAAGTAGTTCAATTTGACCCATTAACTTTAGGCAGCTTTCATCAGGACTTGCTTCCCAGTTCACACCTACCTTAATGACGAATTCCTGAAGGAGGTGATGGATATCCTCCACTCTCTTCTCCACCTTCCGTTGAGTGTGGTGGATTCTGAGCGAGAGGCCATGTTCCATTCGACGGATTTGTTTGCACCGCATGGCTCGGGAGATGTAGTTGAGAATCATTGCTAGATACCCCAGACCAAAGATGATCCAGAAGATGACGCCTGTCTTGTATATCCATATGTAGTCCCCATAAAAGTTTCCTGAGATATCAAGAAGTGATTATTCTGGAGAAATTTACAAAATCATTACTTTCCAGAATTTTCTTAAAAATTAAGTTACAGCCTGCTTTCATTTTACCTAACTTTTAATAGATTGTAATAATAATAATAATAACTACCAAATTTTTATAGCTTTTAGAAAAATCATGATTCATTGATTAATTTTGGGATCAGGTAGAGCACGGTCCAATGATTTGTGTGCTAGACTGTGGGTTTGAAGTTCCGTAGCTTGTGTCAACTTCACGATCTAGCATGATAGCAGCTAACCACTAGGCTATGCTAGTATAAAACAATTAAGGAGTTTCGTGTTGAACTTAAAGACCAGTTTTTCAGCCAACGGCTGAAAGGGCGAGCATGTTTGGTGTGACGGGGATTCGAACCCGCGACCCTATTGGTAAGGGACAGTGTTCTGTGTGCACGTGCCACAGGATGTTAGTGTAAGCCTCTAGTTATTAGAAAAGGTTCCTATCTTTGTGCTTTTAAAATGTTAAGCATCTGCCAGTGACTTACAAGAGTAGTGAAAATGCTTCGATGACGCAGAATATCTTTCAAGAATGGTTTGGTGATTCTTTTGTATGTCAAGTGATAAACCGTTTCTGGCAAGTTGGTTTACCAGGATATAGCAAAGTTATTCCATTCCTAGATAACTGTAAAGCACATCCTGAAGCAGAAATGTTCGTTAATGAAAACAACTTCGTTGTGTTTCTCTCCCCCCGCCCCATCCAACATAACAAGTTTAATACAGCTTATGGATCAAGCCATTATTTGCAATGTGAAGTGTCAAAAATACTTTTAGTGATGCTCTGGAAGCTGTAAAGATTCGTATACAATTTTGTCAATCTCGCCCTAACTATCCGCAGCAGCAAGTAATGAATATCTTTCAAATGAAAGTAAAATTCGAGACGATAAGCGATAATCTTTGAAGTAAATCACGCTGCAAGAACTCTTCCTTAGAGAGCCTATTAAATCAGACATCCAAAGCGACCCAGGCCTGGAACTTCTTCTTTAGCAAGTACTGAGGATGCAGAACTGCTGGCCTTAATTGACACTGATACTTTCACCCACCCACCCCGTAGATGACAGCTGTTAATTCTTGGTACATCATGGCGAAACATTTCAATAATTGATCTAATGACCTTTTTGAAAGTAATATCTTTTGGGAGCTGAAAACCGATCTTAATGGGATTATTATCTTGGCAAGAGAAACATTTGAATGTAATTTTATTCGGTAATTTGTTATGTTTTTCCATCTAGCGGTATCCTGTATTTATTCACGTTGTGTATGAATTTCTTTATTTGTCCGCGAACTCTTCCCATAATTATGGAGTTATCAGGACCAAATTTAGCAGGTGGACTCAGGATGGTTTGGGAGTATCCTTAAGTATATGGCGTAGCTTCTTTATCAAGGGGATGTAAAAGGTGATAATGTCCTTTGAAGGATCACCCAAGAATTATTGGGGTCTAGGAGTAGGCTGAACTCAAAACCTGGCATCAACTTTTGTGTTCCTGGTACCTCTTGGGATCCACCCCTCCCCCTCATAAGATAGCTTGTCCAAATGTGGGGTCGTGCTCAAGTATCACAGGATTTGTTTACGGGGATGGACACCCTTTGGAACTGATAAACCAGAGAGAAGGCAATTAGTTGATAGCACTCCCCGCCACCTCTGGGATCGACAGTGGTTCTTATAGCCACCCTCTCCCCCCAAAGTGAAAAGCATGTTTTTGTGGCAAGGCTTCGAATTTACAGTTTGAGAAATCTAGCCAGAATGTCACACCCGACCCTTTTCTGAACAAAATACAAATCTGAATAAGAATGTAACTTAAGCGATCATAATCAATAGATTTGATAGTAAAGGTTCATGAAATTGAATACAAACCCATATCCCTGCACTAACGGACAAAGAGTCTAAGTAAAAAGCTTCAACTGACCCGAAAAGTTTCTGTGAAACAAACATTAACTGAACTAGCACAATAAATCCGATAAGTCATGCCTAATGTTTCTATGTTATTTAGGGCATACTTTCTCTTTGGGTTAAGTTTCTAGTTCTACGTAGCAAAACACATTAGTTAGTTCAGTCGTAGGAGTTATCGGTCTAAATTCGTTCCACTAAGCTAAGGTTTGTTGGATGTGATATCCAGAATACGTTGGTCTTAAAGGTACAGGCGGAAAGTCTTAGAATAAATAATTTATTTAGGGCAGGTGAAAAGTTAGTTACGTGACTTGCTCTTAAGTTTTAAAAATATGTCACATTTGCCCGGCATGGCCAGGTTGTTAGGACGTTTGAGTCGCACTCTGAGAGTCGCGGGTTCGAATCGCCGTCCCACCAAACATGCTCGCCCTTTCAGCTGTGGGGGCGTTATAACGTGACGATCAATCCCACTATTCGCTGGTAAAAGAGTAGCCCAAGAGTTGGCAGTGGGTGGTGATGACTAGCTGCCTTCCCTCTAGTCTTTCACTGCTAAATTAGGGACGGTTAGCGCAAATAGCCCTCGTGTAGCTTTGAGCGAAATTAAAAACAGAAACAAAAAAACGATGTCACATTTAATTTTACTTTTTTATTTTTATTAAATATGTTTTGTTGTGTAAGCTTACCTGCTACGTAATCACCAAAGCCGATGGTGGCGAGCGAAATGAAACAATAATAGAGTCCTTCCAAGAAAGTCCACTGTTCGATGACCATGAAGATACCTGCTGGAAGAATGATGAACACGACAAACCACGGAAGGAGGAAAGTCAAGGCATTGATCGCTAGCGCCACCTTGGAGCTGTAGCTCTTTTTGGCTCTTTCTAAACTGCTTAGCAACTGTTTGCTAAAATGATCACCGATTGCCGCTAGGAGGATCCCCGTCATAGGTATTCCTATCATAGCGTAGAACACACAGAAGATTCTTCCTGGAACGGTAGATGGCGCTAAATGGCCATAGCCTACAACAGAGGCGTTTCTTCAGTTTCTCGTTTAGGCCTAAATATATTCGTGCAGTTTAATCCCCAGTTTTTGTCTAATTATTTTATTCTTTAATAAATAAATATTAAACTTTTTGAAGATTATTATAAATGTTATTCTTTTTTCTTTGAAGATTTAAAACATGTTTTTAAGAACGTCAAAAATACGATTTAAGCCAAGAGTTAAGATGTAAGAAAAATTTACTAAATTTACACAATGAGCTATCTGTTCTCTGGCCACCCAATCTTAGCGTTATACGCACTCAGACATGCTGCTGAGCCATCGTGGAAGCCATTTAGTAAAAACAAACTTTTAAGCCTAAGGCAATATCAATACCAATAATACATTGTATTTAACTGAATGCTCGAAAGACAAACTGACCATCTATTACACACACACACATATATATATATATCGCTTCCCGGTGGATCACCTTTAAGTTTAAAAGCATTAAATGCTAAAATTTAAGGTTCGATTCCCCGTTTGAATAGAGCGCAGATAGCCCACTGAGTAGCTTTTCATTAAAACAAATAAACAAAAACAATCAATCGACTACCATATCATCGAATTCATAAGAGATAGCTATTTACAGCTTAAATTCAACTCGATACTAGCAAACATGCAATTAACTGTTTCTACGAATAAAAATCGAAAAGGACCATTAAAATATACATTATTACATTAATAAGAACCAAATGAGTAACGGTTATTCGATAGGACTAACAAAAATATACTTCAACTAATGAATGACATGCTTTTATTTATTTTATTATATGAAACTAAATACATGAAATAAGAAAGATCTAAGTTACTGTGAAAAAACACAAAAAAGGATACCGAAAACAATGCACAGACGCGACAACGTTTTCTTATAATAGAAAACGACAAGCAACACCAGAAAAATAAAAAATATGAAGTTCCTGAAACGATCACGTAAAATTGTTAGCGTATATTCCTGAACATTTATTCAAACACAGAGGTTTGTTTTTTAACTTTTCATTTCTATTGTTTAGTGAGCAGTCTTGTCGTGTATCTAATGAGATCGACATTCTAAAAGCTTATCCTAAACAACCTGTCTGAGTTGATTGTTTGCCAGTTAAGATTTGAAAAGGATTAAAGAATGTAGGCTTAGCCGCAAATAGAAACATTACTCATTTCCGTTTTTATGTGTTTTCAGGTCTTCAGTTTGCTTTTGTTTATCCGACTGAGAGATATTTGCCCAGTAGAAGTTTCTGATAAATATTTGTATAGAGTTTCTTTCAAATTCAGATCATGTTCTTATACACTGACAAGACCTCGCTAGTACCGAAATATTCCAACCATAACAAAAAACAGCAAAAAAAAACAAAAAAAAACAAAACGATCAGACTATTTTATGGGCACTTTGTGGTTGCATATCATACGTTGAAGCTGTTTTATGGTTTATAGGTTCTACAGTTTCTTCGATGATGGCTGGAAAGTCTGTGGTTGCATTAAATAACTATTTATCGTTATTGAACTAATACTTTTTATACAATTCATTCAAAGTGTACGTCTTTTCTATCATATATTATAAGAATGCTGACTTTGTCTTCCTTCTCCTTTTGTGTATCTAAAACTAAATCATTTTTTTTGTATTTCTAAAGAAAGACACAACCATTCTTTGTTGTGATATAAGGGAATCGTGCTTCGTTGTTCACAAAAATTGTGGCCTACGTTTATTAATTAACTCGTATACTGGTTAGAGTACCCGTTCCATCGATAGCAATTATGTAAATTCATGATTAATGAAAGGTTATCCTAGGACACGAAAAGTTGCCTCCCTTATATATAATTGTAAAAAAAAAATGCAAAAAAGCCCATAAAAACTGCAAACCACAAAATGTGAAACCGAAATTTTCTATGTATCTCCCCATGGACCAAACAAACCTCTATGCCAAATTCGGTGAAGATCCACCTAAAGGGGGCGAAGTAGTGGTAAAAAACACACGCGAAAACGCCCATAAAAACTGCAAAATGCAAAACTGAAAATTTGTATGTATCTCCTCATGGACTCAATAAACCTTCATACCAAATTTGGTGAACATCCATCCGCAGAAGGTGAGTTAGCGTGGAAAAAAAAAACACCCATAAAAAACACAAAACGTAAAATGCAAAACTGAAAATTTTTATATACCCTCGCATGAACCTGATGAACCTCCATACCACTTTAGGTGAAGATCCACCCACATCCTGCAGAGTAGTTACATGGACATATAACAGACAATACTATTATACTTATATAGATTTAGACATACACTAATATGCATAAATTAGAGACCACTATTCTGCCACCTGTGCGAAAGGTTGTAATATAGTAATAATGCTAACATACAAACTAATATTTAGAGACCACTATTCTGCCTCCTGTGCGAAAGGTTGTAATATAGTAATAATGCTAACTTACAAACTCATACTTAGAGACCACTATTCTGCCTCCTGTGCGAAAGGTTGTAATATAGTAATAATGCTAACATACAAACTCATATTCAGAGACCACTATTCTGCCACCTGTGCGAAAGGTTGTAATATAGTAATAATGCTAACGTACAAACTCATATTTAAAGACCACTATTCTGCCTCCTGTGCGAAAGGTTGTAATATAGTAATAATGCTAACATACAAACTCATATTTAGAGACCACTATTCTGCCACCTGTGCGAAAGGTTGTAATATAGTAATAATGCTAACATACAAACTAATATTTAGAGACCACTATTCTGCCTCCTGTGCGAAAGGTTGTAATTTAATAATAATGCTAACATACAAACTCATATTTAGAGACCAGTATTCTGCCTCCTGTGCGAAAGGTTGTAATATAGTAATAATGCTAACTTATAAACTCATATTTATTTAGTTAACTATTTTCCTTAATCATGTACTTGATTTCAATGGATTCTAAAAAATGAAAAGTAAGAATGTCTGAACTGGCAATAATTATGTTTCTATGTAGCTTTTAGATTTTGTAATGCTGTAGTCGTTATATTTGTGTCCAACATCATATAACATTCCAAGCATTTATTAATTTTCTGTTGTAAAAGTATTAAATAATATTCCCTTTGTCACTAAAATCATTATTTGTTTTTGTGAAAAGTAGGCAAAAATGTTCTTTAACTCGTGACCCTAACATGACTGTTCGAATTTCAAGTACGAAACGTGGGTCTAAGACACAGAGTATATGATGACGCAGGGCATAGCATAATTGCTTTATATAAAGAGGGCTACAGTCAGAGGGAAAGTTCTGCAGAAATGAAAGGTTCAAAATCTGGAGTTCAAAAACAATCAAAAGATAGAATGAAACTGGTACCACTGGTGACCAGAGCAGGTCCTGAAAACCACTTAAGGTTTCCAGATCAGGCGTTAAATAGCTTAGATTTTTTTCTTCATCTAGCACCTTGCTCTAGAACTTTACTGGTTAAAACTTACACTTTCACCAAAGCACTTTTTGTTCTAGAAAGACAACAAACAGAAGACTCAATTTTTCAAAAAACAACAACTAATTGTACAGCAACATAAGGAGAAACTACTTTGATCTGATGAGTTAAAAGTTTGAGAACCAATAGATACCAGTTCGTTCGTGTTGAGAGATGAAAGGAAAACTGTCGGCAGCTTTCACATCCAAGTGTGGCTGTTTAACCACAACCCTAGTTGGTGATCTCTGCGGTATTGATCGAGACCTAGATTCTGACCAATATAAGCAAGTACTCATTCACCAGGCTGCTCCTTCGGGACGTCACTTATTGAGAGAAATTTCATTTTCCAGTCAAAACAGTAAACCAGTATCTTAATAGACAGCAGATAAAACCCTTGTATGCTTAGCATGGCCTCTGCAAATCCTAGACTTCAATATTGTTGACTGTTCGTGGGACTATCTTGATCGAGAAAACAGCAAAGGAGAAACTAATGAGTAAGTACTTTAATACGCCTGTAATTCAATTTCCACTTACTGTCTCCAAATGCTTTTTGCAGCAATGCCCAGCCCACTTATAAAGATATTCACGATCATTATTTAATCTAAGTTTTAATAAATGAATCTTAGCATGAATATCGTTATTTACTAAATATTACAAAAATCTGTTCGTAATCTTTTTTTAGTCTGTTTTATTCAGGTTTGTTTTTTCAGAATGCTCAACATCTATGAAATAATTTTTGCAACTCGTTATGTATGTTTCAACACACTAATGAAACTACTAAAGACATCAAAACGGGTAAAAAGAGTAACTTTACTTACAAATTGATGAGGAACAACTCAAGAAAGTTATCCACTATAATGACTAGTATTCCTCTGAAGCAACACGACAAAACACTAGCTATGTTTGCCTGCCAATGTGGGTCAGACTATATCTATCTGTTCAATTATGTATATATATCATTTATAAGTTAGTTGAACTAATCTTTTGTTAAATGGACTAGTGTCACGAGCTTAGCTGGATTTGTCTGACGTATAATAGGTGACTTTGGTTAGGTCTATCTGACACATGTATGAATTTGGCTAGGTCTATATGTCTGAACATGTATAATTTTGGCTAAGTCTATACGACCTAACATGTATGATTTTGACTAGGTCTGTCTAATCCAACATGTATGGTTTTGGTTAGGTCTTCTGTCTGACTCAACATCTATAATTATGGCCAGGTCCATCTGACCTAACATATATGATTTTGGCTAGATCTGTCTGACCCAACATTTATGATTTTAGGTCAGTTTATCTGACCAAACTATATATATATTTTCTTGATGTAACTCCCCTATAACCCACACATTATGTTAGATCTATTGTGACCTCCAATGTGTCACCTTTATAATGTCTATTTTACCTACCGAAATATATATATTACTTCAATGTAATGAGAAATATGTCGTTCACACTTAGAAACGCTGATTTACGATATAGATTATCTAACAAAATTCCAGTAATTTACTAGTCAAACAATGTTTTATACCTACCGATTGTTGTAACAACAGTAATTGCAAAGAAAAAAGAATTGTAAAAACTCCAGTTGAGGTGGGTATTGTTTCCGTAATCATCCATTAAGTTTTTACTCCTCGCCTCCGCCAGGTGGTGCACCAGTCTTTGGATATCTCCTTTAGTAAAGTTTGGATGATTCATTCGTAGTAGTTTATCTGTCTCAAAGAGCAAATTAGATTACTTAATTTATCTGGCTAATTTGATGTATACACAAAAAGGCATGATATAATAACAACTTCTCATCATAACCAATAAATTAATAACTTTTACCCGATTATTGATGTTCGCGGTACGATGAATCTAGTTTCTCAGAATGACGAACAAGACGCGCTATCATTAGTAAACAGAAAAAAAAAAGCTGTGTTTATTAGAGCTGTAACTAGGGTATTCAGTAGTAAAATAACAAGATAGAAACAAATGTAAGAGGGTAGTTAAAAATAATTTTAATGGTTCGTAATTAGGGGCAAGGTTCTGAAATCCTTTAAGGCCCATGTATTTGTTATATGGTTAAGGCGATTGTATATCAATCGTTGTTACGGTTAGTAACCTATACGATCACCTAATTCGAATTCTTAGTTAGTAATCATTTTATTATCAAATGATATATATACATGATAAAATACCTACTGATTAATAATTATAAATCGATGATCGTATATGTTACTAACCATGGCAACGCTACTACCTTACCGTGAATACTTAAACCACCGTTATGGCCACTGGTTTTGTAAGGAATTTAGAGATTTAGCAAATTAAACAATAAAATGATTACTAGTTAGATATTAGAATTAAGTGTCCGTACAGGATATTAACCATGATAACGATTCAATTAAAAGCCTTATTCTAACATCTTTGCGCGAGCCAGCAGCACAATTCCTGAGGACATCTTTCACCAACAGCACAACGTTCAAATAATTAATTGATACGAACTGCATAACACTGTGTCAATAACACGTTACAAATATAGTTGATCATTCAAGCACGGGCTTCTATTGAGTGTTTCTCCTGATGTATACTGTGCACGTCGTGGTTGTTTTGGTGATAAGAGCCATGACCTAAGTGCAGAATATAAACACACATAACACTAGAGTGTACCTTGGGAAACACACCTCTGTGCAGGATATAAACACACAAAACACTAGAGTGTACCCTGGGAAACACACTTCTGTGCAGGAGATAAATACACATAACACTAGAGTGTACCCTGGGAAACACACCTCTGTGTAGGAGATAAATACACATAACACTAGAGTGTACCCTGGGAAACACACCTCTGTGTAGGAGATAAATACACATAACACTAGAGTGTACCCTGGGAAACACACTTCTGTGCAGGATATAAATACACATAACACTAGAGCGTACCCTGGGAAACATACCTCTGTGTAGGAGATAAATACACATAACACTAGAATATACCTTGGGAAATACACTTCTGTGTAGGAGATAAATACACATAACACTAGAATGTACCTTGAGAAATACACCTCTGTGTAGGAGATAAATACACATAACACTAGAGTGTACCCTGGGAAACACACTTCTGTGTAGGATATAAATACACATAACACTAGAATATACCCTGGAAAATACACCTCTGTGTAGGATATAAATAAAAATAACACTAGAATGTACCTTGGGAAATACACCTCTGTGTAGGATATAAATACACATAACACTAGAATGTACCTTGGAAAATACACCTCTGTGCAGGATATAAATACACATAACACTAGAATATACCTTGGGAAATACACCTCTGTGCAGGATATATAAACACACACAGAACACTACAGTGTACCCCTGGGAAACACACCTCTGTGCAGGATATAAATACACATAACACTAGAATATACCTTGGGAAATACACCTCTGTGCAGGATATATAAACACACACAGAACACTACAGTGTACGCCGGGGAAACACACCTCTGTGAAGGATATAAACACACACACACAATGCTACAGTGTACCCTGGGAAACACACCTCTGTAAAGGATATAAACATACACAAAAATGCTACATTGTACTTTGGGAAAAACACCTCTGTGCAGGATATAAATGCACATAACACTAGAGTGTACCTTGGGAAGCACACCTTTGTACAGAATATAAACAAATGCACAACACTAAAGTGTACCTTGGGAAACAAACATCTGTACAGGATATAAACACACACACACACACACTCTTCCAATTTTAGTTAAATCTTATGGGAGATTACAGAATTTTTAGCTAAATTTCGTTTAGTTTTAGTTAGGAAAAAACGAGATCACATTGGAATCAACCAAATTACTTTTAACCGAACTTAAAATAAGGATTTTGTTATTACTGTTTTTATGACATAATAAAATAGAGATACAAATCAGAGAACATATATATATATATATATTTCACAGTAACCCCCAATGGTTTCCAAAAATACATCACTGCATGAGTTTAAATATAATTTGAAATGGAAAGATAGAATAATATCAAACAGTTAGTCTGACCCAGATTTAAGTCATGCCATAACTGACAGAGCCAAGTAAGACATTTGCTACATGGTTCTATTACCACCCGCTGTACCGATGCTATACAGTAGCTGTGTTAAGGTTTGGAAAATCTACCGTAACAGGCGAGAAACGTTTGCCAGAAAACACAGTCCTGCCGCGATCATATAGCTAACACTTAGACAGCAAAAAAAGCTGGAAAATTGGAAACATGACGGTAAAAATGAAGCCCTTGTTTTAAGATTGCAACCCCTTTCAGTTTACATCAAACGAACCGACAGTAATGAGTGATGCTCTAGATAGACTTGATAATTTTTTTGCTGTTGAAGTAGAATACGTAAATGTCAACGTCTTGTTTTTGCAGACTTTAAATTTTTAGCATGATAAAATAAAATGGTACAAAGATACAAGTAGAGCGAATTCAGACCTTTACTACTCTAGAATTACGCTGCCTATACTTTGACAGTTAGCTCTCTGACGCAGAAATGGTGCATATTCTTTATTCTCCAGTGCACCGCTGATCGATAACTGAAAATATTCCCAATGGAGCTAATGACTCATTATGGTTGAAATGAACATAACACTACGACTGAATGACATTGAAACGCTACTATTAAACATCTTACATTGTTATTGAAAAAAACATGCTTACAAACAAATTTTGTGTAGTAAATTATTATGTAAAATTATACTAAAAATATATTATTTTATAAAGTGGACAGTTCTTTTGTAACAAAGTGTAAAGGGAATTCACTGTATATGATTTTAGCTAGGCCTTCCTGACTCACTATGTATGATTTCAGCTGGACCTACCCGATCTACCGAGTATGGTTTTAGCTAGGCTTACTTGACGTACCAAGTATGATTTTAGCTATGTCTATTTGACCTATTATGTATGGTTTCAGCTAGGCCTACTCGATCTACCAAGTATGATTTTAGCTAGGCCTACTTGACCCACAATGTATGCTTTTAGTAGACCTACCTGATATACCATCTATGATTTTAGCTAAACCTGATGATCTACCATGTATGATTTTAGTTGGGCTTACCTGACTCTACTTGATGTATTTTGTTTTCACATTTTTTTTTCTATCAACAGATAGCTTCAAACAAACAAATTTTTTACCTTCCCAGGTTTTCCTGGTCTCTTTCAACTGTACTCTCATCTTCTCCTCTAACGGTGCTTCGAGAGCCATGAAAACAGCGCCACCTATCAATACGTAGACGATGAAAAGAACCAAGAGGCCAAGGACCTCCTTTTTGGTCATGGTAATTGTCTAAAAGGAAATATAATGTACACTTAATCAGATGAAAAAGAACTTAAAACATAAATGTTGTATAAATTAATACAGATTAAATGTTTCTAAAAAATAATATTCTGTTTATGTGCTTTTGATTTCTTTGCAGTTTCTGCCATTTCTGACTGCTATTAAGTATGTATTACTGATAATTCCTTTAAACTCCCCGTTTTGTCATGATTTCAAAATTGTCATGTCGTTTCATCCCGATGACAAAAAAATGAAGATGATTTGCGATCAGCACTTCATTATAATACATATATCCTCCAATAAACTTAACATTGATGTTATAAGAGCCTCCAGTTAATTAGTGATGGCTAGTTATATCTAAACTACAGACGTAAGAAGGCTCCAATGGTTACTATTATATCTACGTCATAAAAGTAAGGGGACTCAGTGATCACTATACACCATAAACGTAGGGAATGATCAGCATCATGTCTTTGTCATACATGTAGGGAGAGGCCACTGATCACTATTCTATCTGCGTCATAAATGATCACTATCATCTTACTGTCATAGAATTACAGAAATATTTAGTGACCACCTCTGACTACAAACCGCTGAACACCATTAGTTCGTTTAATTTAACGGTTTTAAAAGTAAATTGTAACACTTCCTCCTATAATGTTATTATATTTGTTTGTTTT